TTCCTCCCCAAGGAAATATCAGTTCATCCTTCTAATTGCAAAAAAAAAATGAGCCCACTCTCAGTAGTGACTGGAATCTTAAAAGCTTGTAAGCAGCCATCTAGATGCAACAATGGGTCTCTCCTTGTCCAGAGAGAAGAATGAAGAAAACCAGACACATGGAAACAATTAGTCCAAGGGACAGGTGAACCATGCAATCTTCAGTCTATATGACCATGAGATCAGAAGAACTAGATGGTGCCTGGCTACTACTGTCAACCACTCAGAGGGAGATCTGTGTAGGAAATCCTGGATAGAGTGGAAGAACAAAACTCAATATATATACATACATACATACATACATATATATAAAACGGTAGGAGCTCTGGTAGCATAGTGCCTAAGGCACTTGACTGCTAACCAGAAGGCTGGTGGTTCAAACCCATCGGCCACTCCTCGGAAAGAAGGTTGGGCAATCTACTTTCGTTGAGATACCGCCTTGGAAACCCAAGGAGGGGTCGCTATGAGTCGAGTCTGACTCAATGGCACATGACAACAACAACAACAACAACAAAACACACACACACACACACACATATACACATGACCAGGATTTGCTGGTCTGATAGAGCCTGGTGAAAGCCCTGAGACTATGGCCCCTAGCTGCCTTCAGGTCTGGAACTGAACTCACTCCTGTGGCTTGCAGCCAAATAAAAACCCACATATGAGGTGAACATTTACATCCGGTAGATACACACCTTGGAGCCGTCAATCATGGGAGAATCGAAGGCAGTGTATGCACAGGGAGACTGCAAGGTAGGGGGTCAGGAGTACATGGGAAGGAAGGACACAGGGAAGAGATAACTATGGGGAAGAAGTGGGAAGAGAGCTATTATATTGTGGGAAATTGCAGTCAATGTCATGAGACAAAATGTGTATGAACAGCTGTGGGGAAATGAATTTGCTCTGTAAACTTTTACCCAAATCACAATAAAAATTAAAAAAAATAAGAGAGAGAGAGAGAGAGAGAGAGTCTCTCATCTCTCTGTACTCCTGCCTTTCAACTTAATGTTCCTATATTCTCACCTCTGGCCTTTTCTCATTGTTTCCTCTGCTTGGATGTCCCTTCTTCTTTAATTAACATCTGTTTGTTTTTTCAGACTCACCTCAAACCTCCTCTCCTCCAGGAAGCCTTTCCCCATGTACCCCCAGTGGCTGAGTTAGGTGCCACTCCTCTGGGCACCTAGTCCTTAACAGCTAATAATCATAACTGAGGTTTACAGACCACTTACAAGTGCTTGGCCCTCTATCAGGCTCCAGATCAGCTCATCTAGTTGAAACCTGACCGTGTGAATGAGAGACTGTCTTTATCCTTATTTTCCTTATAAGGACACTGAAGCTGGGGGAGGTGAAGGGACTTGTCCCAGTGTTGGGGCTAGGATGCGACCCAGGGGAGTATTGCTCCAATCTTCCACCTGGTGCTTTATCTGCTGTGCCACCTTCTGAACATTCGATATGGCCATTTTCTGCTTTGTTGTTGTTGTTGTTGTTATGTGCCGTCGAGTTGGCCCTGACTCATAGCGACCCCTCCTTGGGTTTCCGAGGCAGTATCACTACGCCGTCTGGTTAGCAGGCAAGTGTCTTAGCCACTATGCTACCAGAGCTCCTTCCCTGGAACTGTGAGCACCAGGGGTGTAGTCTCTCACTTCCTTGTTCCTATGTTGTTAGCTGCCATCAAGCTGGCCTCTAACTCATGGTGACCTCATGTACAATGGAATGAAACACTGCTCATTCTTGCAACATCCCCAAGATTGGCTGCAGACTGGATCATTGTGATCCATAGGCTTATACCCTCTACCCCATGTCTGTCATGGTCCCCAGAGGGAATCCAGATCTCATGTTTTGGGTTCCCTTGGGTACCCCTGGGCTCCTGGGGCTGAGACACTGGGAGGGGAGGAGATTGTCCCTTATCTCAGGAGGGGTGCCCTTCCCTACCTTCCCTACCCCTCGTCAGGCCTTGGGGGTCACTGATGCTGCATCCACATCTGCCTACAGTCAGGTTTAATCTCTGCTTAGAGATCATGCTCACAAGCGCTAATGGGCCAGCCCTCTTCAGACTTTAGCTCACTGAATCCTTACAGCAACCTATGAAGGAGATAGGGGTATGAAACCCATTTTACAGATGAGAGAAACCAGGGCTTGGCTAATATCACAAAGCAAGTGGGTGGTGTCAAAAGTGTCCCCAGGATTGTCTGACTTCAAAACCGTTTAGCTTCACCACTGCCCCCCTTCTGTTCCGGACAGGGTGGAGTGCAAATCCCCGGAGGACAGGACTGTGACTCATCTCCTCATCCGCTGTGGGCCAGCAGTTGCGCCCAAACACCAAACACCATGAGGCTGTTGTGAAAGTTTGGGCTGGGCAGGCCTTGGATCGAAGCAGGTTCCCAATAACTGTTTATTGAGCTGAGGTCAACAGGGCAGGGATAAGCCTCCCCTATTTTATAGCTGAGGAAGTTGCAATCAGAGAGGAGTGGAAAAGTTGCTCAAGGTCATCCTGAGTCAGAGGAAGAGCTGAGACTTGAACTCAATACCCTTGGAAACCCTGTGCCAAGAAAGAGGAAGGAGGCTGCTGGGCCTGGCTTTACCACTCAGGTCTCCTGGGCTGGCAGCTTTATGGCCCTGTAAGTCATTGGGACATGTCAGTGCCCTAATGACCTCTGGGGAAGCTGGGCTTGAAGTGGCCTAGCAGTGGTAGGTGACAGGTTTATGGTAGATCAGGAGTGGGACCAAGATTGAAAGATAAGGCTGGGAGTTAAAACCGGGAGTGGGGGCCCCACCTTGTGCAACCCTGGGATCAGCAATGGCAGATAGAATAGGAGCCCCTCCCTGACTGCCCTCACACAAATTCCCCACCTCTGTGGTGCCCATGATGAAGAAAGTGTCCTTTAGTGGACCCCTAAACCCCTTACCCTGTGCCTCAGAGGAGGCACCTGACTGTGGCCTGGTTTTCCCATATTGCTGGCTCCCACAACCCACTGGGGTGGATGGGGGGGCGATGATGGGAAAGACAAAGAGTCACCTAGGGGACCGCTCCTCCTCCTTCTCTCCCAGCCCCTGAAGGGGCTCCAATGCAATGGACATTGAAGCAGGTCCAAAGAGTTCACTGATCAATACCCTCCTTGAGCCCACCAAAGGTTTCCAAGCCTCTCCTCCACCTGTCTAGGGGCTGGTCAGGGGTCCCAGGGACCCTTTGGAGTAGTCGCCATCCCAGGAACTGGCTTCCTTCCTGCCCTATCCCCCAGCCCTGAAATATCATTTTTATAGCGCCGTGAACACAGATCCACTCTCCAGAAATGGCCCTTGATTGTGGTAGTCTCAGGCTGATGATTACATTTGAGAGCAGTGTAGACCACAGGGCACTAAGCCTGATATGGCCCTCCCTCCCCTCCCAGTCTCTTTGTGGATCAAAGTAGCTCTCAGAGGCTGTGTGATCCTGGGCCAGGGGAAGACTTCAACGAGGCTCTAACCAAGGAGGAAGCCCCTTTGCCTAGATTGTTCTGGGGAGCCAATCCCCTTCAGAGGTCCCTAGCGCAGGTTCAAAGGCTGGTGGGGACTGAGAGGTTGGCAGCGGATGGGGAAGTAGCTAGACCAGAAAACTAGGGCTTCCTGTTGATGGAAGGGGTCCAACCCTCTCCGTCATCCCAGTTTGAGCTTCTCAAACTTCTCAGACTCCCATGGAAGCCCCCACTCCACTGGACACAAGGCACCTGCAGCTGCCAAGTCACCTAGGGCACTGTGGCAGGGGAACCACAGCCAGGAGAGGGGGCACCCCTCCTGAGACAAGGGACAGCTCCTCCCCACTTTGACTCCTAGCCCCATTTCCCTCAATGCTGGGACATCCATCAGGGAAACTCTTCTTTCATTAGATCTCCATGGAGATCCTGGCAGATGGAGAGAACTAGGGGTCCATTCAGATGCTGGCCTCTTCTCTTCCGATCTCTTCTCCAAGCACTGGGGGCTCTCAACAGGACGCAGCCTTTCCCTGGGTCCCCTCAAAGCCCATTTCTCAACTCTGTCCCTCCAGTCCCCCACTACCACCTCTACCCACCCACAAACACACATTCAACAATTTACAGACCGCTCTTCTCTGGTGGCTAGTGGATAAAGCATTTGGCTGCTAACCAGGTCAACGGTTCATAACCCACCAGCTGCTCAGCGGAAGGAAGATGGGGCGATCTACTTCCGTGAAAATTTACAGCCCCCAGTGGGGGTCACTATGAGTCAGAATCAACGTGAGGGCAGTGAGTTTGGTTTTGGAGTTTTGCTCTGTGTTGGAAGAAGAGTCTATGGTGCGCTTAGAAATTAACTTTGGAGCAGCCTGGGGGGTAAATAGAAAAAAGGGCTAAGACCTAGAGAATCAGTGATCACTGCCTGAGATATATAGTGAGGAGCCCTCCTTCTGGGACCACCGATTCAACAAACCCCTTCGCGCATCGCTCGACTCCTTCTTCACTGCAAGGCTAGAACCATCGCCCGCCCCTCAACTCGCGCCAATTCCGAGGTCCCAGCCAACTGCTCCGGTACCAGGCAGACGGAGGCGTCCCGGCCGCCTGCCAGGAGGAAGGGGAGAGAGAGCTGTGCGGTGGTCAGCGCCAAGACGGTCGAGGCCGAAATCCAGGGATCCCACCTCCTGTGTGGGTTAGGGACTTTGTGATGTCGCTAACCGGTTCTCAAACCAGGGATCAAGGCAGGGGAGGGTGCAATTTCTGAGCCGAGTGCATTGAAAAGGTTTCGTGCACCGGGCCAAGAGGTGACCAGAAGAGAATTTCAGATCAGGGACAGGACAAGGGGAGGGCAGAGGAGGCGCCTCTAGTGGGAGGAGCTGCCACCCGCGTCGCGTTGTCGGGGCTCCCTCTCGTCGCGGCTCGGCTATAAAATCCCGGCCGACATGATCGCGGTACCCCCAGCGGTTTCCTCCGTGTGCTGTCCCCGGCTTGGCAGCGTCTTTGCCTCCCCGCAGGATGCGGCTGCTGTTGGCGCTCCTGGCCCTCGCCGCGGCCCAGCCCTTGGCCCGCGCAGGTGAGCGCCCGGTCGGGTCTGGGGCCCCTGGCGCCCCTCTGCGTCCCCTCCCAGAGTCACCTGCCGAGACAGCGCCGGTGTGAGGCCAGAATGCGCAGCTGCGCGTCGGTGCACAGGCTGCGTGGGCATGGGGTAGGGGTGCGTCCGGGATCGGGCGCGAGCTCGTGTGCACACACGCGTGTCCCTGGTGGGGGCTTGGGGAGTGTGGGCATGTGTGTGCGCGGCGGCGGCGTCCGCGCGTGGCGCAGCATCCCCTTCGGGAGGCAAGTGTGTGAATCTCTGATAAGGATGCTCTGATCCGCCTCGACGCACGCCTCCGTTTGTCGCCTTGGTCCTCCAGTACTCTGTCGGTGGGTCGCAGTTCGTCTCGCCCAGGCTCAGTGTCGGGAAACTCCCCCTGGCCCAGAGCAAGGTCCGTTAATTGAGTGCAGCAGGGTCTTGGCATCTCCGCTTCCCGCAGGGGTTCCTTGTCCTAGGGTCTGCAAGCTACCCTCCTCAAGCCCCCAGCGCTGTACGGGGGAGCCTGAAGGGGGATACCCCAAGACCTGAGGTCCTGGGCAAGCCGGTCTTTCCGGCTGGAGTAATTTTCGTTTAAAGATTAATAGTGAGGCTGAGCTCTTAATTATTCGGTTAGGTGGGAGGTGGCCGGAGAGGCGTGTTAATATTTGATAAGCAGCTGAAGGCGCTGCGTGTGGCTGGACACGGAACCTGAAGAGGTATCTTTACTCTACCCCACGGGAGACCAGCTCCTTCGCAGGAAGCTCCACCGATCCCTTCCGCAGGTCCCCAGCCCGCTGTCTCTTGAAAGGGTCAGGGTCCCCAGGTTCTTGGGCCTACCCAGGCCGAGCCTCCTCTCCACCTTAGGTCCTTGGATTGAGAGAGTGAGGGATGAAGGTGTGTGCCCCTTTGCAGAGAACTTTAGCTGGCTGGAGGAGGTGGGGGTGGTGAGCAGGTGGAGGGGGGCATGAGGGACATCTGGCAGCAACTCTGGGGACCCTTCCCAGGGGAGGAGGAAAGAGAAAAGGCAAGAAGTGAAGAATTCTGTTTGTAGGGTTGGATGTTTGAAACCTGGTCATCAGCCAGGCTTAGTAGAAAGAGAAATGATTTGCAATTCAGAAGGCTGCTTTGTAGTTGTGTGGCCCCGACTAAATCACTTAACCTCAATTTCCTCATTTATAAAACAAGGAGGATGATTCTGATTTCAGGGGTTGTTTTGGGGATTTAAATAAGATCATGGGTGTAAGTGCTTAGTGTGTACTTGCCTGGCACACAGCAAGGTGTATGCCATAACCGTATGGCTCAACCAGTAGCCTGGGGTGAGGGGCTCAGAAAATCTCTCAGCTGACCCCTCACTCATGCTGTGTTATTCCCCATTTAGCACCTGGGGTTTCTGACTTGGGAAGTTGAACTGGAGAGAGGCCAGGCTGGTCACAGAAGTCCCTAGAGCATCTGCTCCCATGGAGAGAAAGGGGGCAGGGAGGGGCAGCCCCCTTTAGAGCTCCAGACCCCCCCACTCACCCCCGGGGCCAGGAGCTGCTGAGACTTTGCCCAGGGCACTCTTAGGTTTTGCTGAGCTGGTTTTCAAGATTCCCTCCTTCTCCCTGGAGTGGAAGGAGGGGGGTGAGCAAGGTCCACAAAAGACAGTTTCTTCAGTCATCTCTGAAGAAGGGGCTAGGGTGGCAGGTAAACCAAGGATGAAGGAGAGTGCCTGGATGACTGGCAGTGGTTTTTAGGTCTAACCCCATCTCAGGCCAGAGCAGATACTAGGTAAGACCTTGGCTTGAAGTCAAGACCTATGGGTAATGGCTTCTTCCCAGGTCTTCTTGGAGGTCAGTCCTGGGCCAGTGGACTGATAATTTCTGCAAGGGTGGCCCTCCTCTGAGCAAGTACAGGAACTTGAGTTGCTTGGTGCCCCTGCCATTTCTTGTCTGAGGACTAGCCCCCCACCCTTACCCTATGAACACAGACCTGGCCCCTGGCCTCGGCCTCATCAACATTGTATTCTCCTGGCTTCTGCCTCCTGAAGAGGGTAGTTACAAGAGTGTTCACCCAAGTGGGTCAAACGTCTCTGTGATTAAGACAATGGAGCAGAGGTCACTACTACAAAACCAGGAGCGACAATCAGAGCCAGAGCCAGGGAAGAACAAGAAAAGCAGAGTCTGGGCCACATGGACTCACAGGAGGCTGACAAGGAATCCACCCTTCAAAGCTGCCTCCTGAAGACTCAATCTCCCTGGAATAGTTTCCCCTCAGGCCTCCAGTCCTGAGCAGGAGCCAGCTGGAGCAGGGAGGTCCCTGTGACCTTCAAGGCCTCAGAGGGATGGGGACACCGGAGGATTATAACAAAGAACATCTTTGGGGGCAAATGACCTCTCCCCCATCATATCCTTGACCATTTCTCCTGGGAGTTGTGAGGGGCAGGGGTTATCTGTGGCTTCTCTGGTTGAGGAGGAATGGGCAGCTCAGAGAAGTTAATTGATTCTTCCTGGGAGATTAAGCAAGAGGCAGAGCCAGGGCCAAAAGCCAGGCGAAGGAACCCCAGCTTCCCAGTTTCGCCACTTTCAGGAAGGGGCCTGGACGGAAATCTACCAGTGCCCTTTGCAGAGGTAGGGGGGTCCCCCTGATGCAGCAACTTTCAGGGGCCACAGAGCCCTGGTGGGAAAGAGGGTGGACTGTTACAGGGAAGATGTTGCAGGTTTGTCCTTCTCTGAAGTAGCATATGCTGGCAGGGTAGAGGAAACATTTGATCCAGGGCTGGGAAACTTGAAAACCCAGGGTGACTCTGAGGGCCCAGAGAGACAGGGGCAGTTTCCTGTGGCTGCTCACTCTCCTGGCCTAGAGAGTCCCACCCCCACCTCTATAAGAGCCAGACCTTCCCAGGATTCTCCCTCCCCTGCCTGTCCCCACTCCAGGGACTCCAGCCAGACCCAGGCCTGAGAGAAGGTAGGAGTTGGGAGAGGGGCAGCCCTAGATAAGGGAGGGAGCAGAGAGGTGGGCTCTGCAACCTCAGCCAGGCTGAGCTGGGAGCTGTGCTTTTCTTAGGAATGTTATTCCCTGAGTTCTTTCCAACTGACTTCATTCTCTCCTTTCTCTGCCCCACCTGGGTTTTGGCCTCTGACCACTGAGGGAGGCAGTGGGGAGGAGAAGGGATGAACTGATCCATGGAACTTTACTATGTGTCAGGCTACCTTCTTCTAGAAATGCTCTATACTTTCCCTCTATACCACTGAATGCTCCTCACAGTCCTATGACATGGATATTAGTAGTCCCGTTTTACAGATGATAAAACTGAGGCTCAGAGAGAGTAAATGACTTGGCCCCAAGCCCACAGTTCCTAAGTGGCCCAGCCAGAATTCCTGGCCCTGGCTCAGATGTTTCGTCCAGCCTGCTGGTCAGTCTTCTACAGAGATAATCAGCTTCTACCAGGCTGAGGCAGAGACAGGATTAGAACCCAAGACTCTCTGGCCCCAAAGCCTAGGACTACAGGGTGGTGGGAACAGAAGGAGGATAAGGGTAAAGGTTTGACTGCCTTCCTTGCTGGGAGAGGTCAGCCAAGAATGGGTGTTAATAACACAAGGTGAGGGAGTGTTTGGGGGCGGGGCTGCCTAATCTCTGCCAGCACCTCCAATAAACTCTAGAAGGCAGTCAGGCTGAAGCTGTAGGAGGGGAGGCGGCCCCAAGTCTTTCCCCTCCCCTTTTGGCAGAGCCTCTCATCTTGGATTAAGGTAAAGGGAGGCAGGGCAGGAGGGGAGGCTGATGACCACATAGAGAGTCCAGCCAGGCCTGTGTTAGAGCTGACCAGCCTCAGAGTGCCTGTCCTTGAAGGTGGCAGCTACCTGTTCTACCTGAAGGACAGTGAGGCAAAATGACCTGGCTGCCTCTGTCATCTCGGTCTTAGTTATCTGGGGCTGCTATAACAGAAATATGACAAGTAGGTGGCTTTAACAAACAGAAATAGTTTCTCTCACAGTTTAGGAGGCCAGAAGTCTGAATTCAGGGCAGCGGCTCTGGGAGGTGGCTTTTTGTCCTCTGCTCTGGGGCAAAGTCCTTGCCTCTTCAGCTTCTATTCCTTGACTTCTTAGGGATCTTCATGTGGCATGGTGTCTTTCTTCTCCCCATCTCTTCTCTGTTTGCTTGTTTTAATCACTTTCAAAAGAGAGTGACTGAAGATACTCCCTGTACTAACCTTGCCTCATTAACATAACAAAGACCACGCATTTCCCTAAAGAATTAGAACCACAGGCATAGAAGTTAAGATTTAGAACACATATTTTGGGGGGACATAATTCAATCCATAACCACTTCATTCCCATATGCCTGCACTTTCTTCTTAAATCTCCTTCCCTTGGCCCCTGAGTCCCAGATCCCATAAAGGCTCCATCCCAACCCAAGGGAGGGTCTGACCCAATCTCTGATCCACACATACAGTGGCATGTGTGTGTTCATATGGGTTCATAGAGTCATGTGTGTGCATAGATACACCTTCACGTGGGCACAAACCTCACCCCCTTTCCTTCTCTGCCCCAGAGTCACACTGGTGCTACAAGATTCAAGCCAAGGCTTCCAACTACACCTGTTTGGGTGAGTACAGTGAGTCTCGGGGACAGGCCTTTCTGTGTGGTGGCTGGGATGGAGACCCAAGGATGACAGGAAGGATAAGGGGTAATGGTGGCCCCCGAGCTAGATTATGAGCAGTCCCTCACCCCCACATACACACTCCCACACACACTCTCGTGGTGCTCAGGGAACAGGGAATGAAGTCTCAGGAAGACTGGAGTCTTCCCTGGCACTTCCTGAAATAAATAGCAGTAGCAGCATCAAAGGGAGAAACACATTCCAGCCCAGCAGAGACACTTGGCCATTTATGATATTTCTCACAGAAAAACCTGAGTGACTCCACTTGTAGGTGGGCCTGGGAGGTTGTCTTTTGTACTTTTTATTCAAATGTGGACCATTGTCCCTGCAGTCCACTTTCCTCCTGTCTTTGCTGTGTTCGGATGACTGGACATTCCTACCCCACTCCTGCCCCCTGCTCAACCAGGTGTTGGCATTGCCCTGGTAATCTGTCACTGTCCTCCAACCTTGCCCCCTAACCTCCTTCTGAGGGCCTTTCTGGAGGGTCAGGTATGCTTAGCATCCATGTGCCCTGCCCTTGGAAGGGCTTTCTGGGGGTGTGGCATGCCACCCACAGCTTCCAAAGCCCTCTCTCACTCACCTTCAGATTTCACAGACCCCCTGGGAAGCCCATATCACTGTGATCCCCGTTTTACAGATGAGCAAACAGCCTCCAGCCAACAACCTGGTCCCATCCTGTCCCACATCATGGCCTATCCCACACACCCATTAGCTTTGCATGTGAGTCTGTGGAGGAGGAAGATCCAAAGAGGGTGAGGGCCTTCCAGCCATCCCTAGACCTTGCCTACATGTGAGCTGTGTTCTTGGGCCTGACCTCAGTGGGGTGGAGGAGGCCACACCTTGGTGCTAGGAGCCCCAGACTCTGAGCACCGCCTCCCTCCCTGCTCAGAGCCGGACAGCTGGGGTGAACACTGCCAGAAGGACCGTCAGTCCCCCATCAACATTGTCACCTACAAGGCACAGTTGGACCACAACCTGGGGCCCTTCATCTTCTCTGGCTATGATAAGAAGCATAAGTGGAGTGTCCAAAACAACGGGCACTCAGGTGGGTCTCAGGTGACCAGGTAGGAAACCCAGGTGGGCAAACCCAGAGACCCTCTTAGTGCCCTGAGGCCTGGAAAGGGTACTACATTGTGGGGGATGGGTAGGGGGAATAGAACTTTGGGGAGGAGGGAACACTTTAGCAGTGTTTTCACCAGACCAGCCTGGGCTGGGGGGAGGGGCAGCATTCCAGGAAGAAGGAACAACATGTGCAAAGTCATGGAGGCGTGAAACAGCTTGGGGTGTTCAGGGAAATGCAGGTGGTTCCATGTGCGTGAAGGACAGAGTGTGGAGCTGGGAACCGCCAGAGCCAAGACTAGGGGTCAGCCAGGCTGTGGCCCAGGGCAGGTCTCCTGGGCTGAGGAGTTTGGACATTACCCTGAGGACACCAGGGCACCACGTAGGGGGTTGAAGCAAGGCAAGGGTCCAGGGCCCAGTGGCATGTTTGGGGTTGTGGGGAGTGTGGAGGAGACGGGCGGCAGGCAGGGAGGCCTGGGAGGCCCTGTCCTGTTCCTCCAGGCACTAGACCTGCTCCTCACTGAGTCCCTGAAGTGCAGGAGCTGGAGAGCTGGGTGGGGCTGAGATGAGGGGGGCTGGGAGAGGCTGAGGGGAGGTGGCTGTGAGGACCCCTTGCTCTGCCTCCAGTGATGGTGTTGCTGGGGGAAGAGATCACGATTGCTGGAGGAGGACTGGCTGCCCGCTACCGGGCCAAGCAGCTGCACCTGCATTGGTCCCACATGCTGGACAGGGGCTCGGAGCACAGCCTTGATGGGGACCATTTTGCCATGGAGGTGAGGCCCCTTCCCAGGGTCTGTGCCTGGCTGGACTCTGGGTAGTCTAGTCCGTCCTGAATCCTCTCTCCTCCCTGCTCCACACCAGATGCACATAGTACATGAGAAAGAGAAGGGGGCATCGAGGAACCAGAAAGAGAACCAGGACTCCCAGGATGAGATCGCTGTGCTGGCCTTTCTGGTGGAGGTGAGGCCCTCTCCCCACCCCCACCATCTGTTTCTAAGTAACAGAGTTTGAGGTTACTTCTTAGGGATCCAGAGACCTGGGACTCCAGCAAGCAGGAGGGGGCTGGGAAGACCCTGGCACCCTTTCTGTTTCTCCATGCCTTGTAGCCCCCAGGCCATGTGGGGTGTCCAGACCCTCTCAGAGCCTCAATCTTCGAAGTGCCCACCCCACCCAGTGTTTAAGAGAATGAACTGGAGGTCACCGTGGGTTCCCCCAAGCCCCTCTCAAGCCCCCTTCCCTCCTATTCCAGGCTGGATCTAAGAACCATGGCTTCCAGCCTCTGGTGGATGCACTGGCCGACATCCGCAAACCCAGTGAGTCAGGATGAGGTGGACGGGAAACCTGGGGGTGGTGAGGAACTTCTTCCCACAAAAGAAGGGGGCAAGGGTGGGTGGGTGCCCAGGGCGAGGTGCATGTGTGGGGAGTGTCACAGCTGCAGAGATCCCTCCCCCTCCCTGATGGGACCCTCCCCCCACCTCCTTCAGATATGACCACCACTTTGAAGGAGAGCATCAGCCTGCTGGACCTGCTCCCCAAGGAGGAGAAACTGAAGCACTACTTCCGCTACCTGGGCTCACTCACCACACCAGGCTGTGACGAGAATGTTGTCTGGACTGTGTTCGAGCAGCCCATTCAGCTCCAGCAAGACCAGGTACACAGGGTCCAGGAGGAGGGTGCAGCCTCTCACTTCCTGGCTCCCTAGAGATTGTCCCTCTGGATCTCCCCTAGTGGTCTCAGGGTGGGGCTGGGGAGCCCAGGGAGCTGACATCAGTGGTTCCGTTCCTGAGGAGACAGACAAGAAATATCTCAGCAGTTCTCTCCCTGTGTTGAGAATTGGAGAGGAGGGACACAGGAGGCCTGGCTGAGGGTGGTCAGAAAAGGCCTCCAACAGGAATGAGGTGGGAGTCAGCCAGGTAAGGACATGGAGCCAGTGTCTTCAGAAGAGAGGACAGCATAGGGGAGGCTAGGGCTGGCTGGCTGGGAGCAGCTGTGAGAGGGTCCGTGGAGCCATAGCAGGAAGATTATGCATCCATTCAACAAATCCTAATTGAGCCCCTGGGTGCTAGGCTCTGGGATACAGCAGTGAACCAAAAGGCCCCAAACCCCTGCCTTCCGTCTCCTTCAATTCCACGATAGTGGTTCTCAAAGTGTCATTCCTGGATTGGTGGTGTCAGCATCATCTGGGGATTTGGTAGGAATCGAAATTCTTGGGCTGTACCCCAGACCTACTGAGTCAGAAACTGGGGGGTGGGGGGTTGAGCCTAGCAAATTGGGGTCCCCGATAAGTCCCCTGTGATTTTGATACACAGATGTGCAAGTTTGAAAACCACTGTTGTAAAGTGATAATGATAATAGTGGTTGTAATGGCCAGCCTCCAGACCACGATGTGTGTCCATTCTGATAAGGGGAGCTGAGGGTCACTGAGCCCTTGGTCAATGTCAAGCACTTTACATCCCTTATTCTTTCCATCTGCACGACAACCTGGACAGGAAGGGTTCTGAGACCCACTTACTAGTGAGGCTCAGAGAGGGCAAGCGACTGGCCCGAGGTCACTTGGGATTCGGCTCCACCTGCTCCCCTGGCTGAGTGCTAAGGGGCTGAACCCTGGCCCTTCTGCAGATCCTGGCATTCTCCCAGAAGCTGTACTTTGACGATGACCAGAAAGTGAACATGACGGACAATGTCAGACCCCTGCAGCGCCGGGGGCAGCGCCCAGTATTCAAGTCACAGGCTGCTGGATTGTTGTTGCCCCTGCCCGCCCTATTGGTCCCCACACTTACCCTGATGGCTGGCCTCCTCCACTAAGGACTCACTGCTGGACACTTGACCTCTGACCGTAGTCTTTTGAAGGGTTGGGCCTCTGTTCCTTAGGCTTCCTGGAGTAGACTTTGGGGATGATTAAAATATGGATATATTTTTGGAGAAACTGTGTCAGGCCTGTTTTCAGTTCCTTGCGACTGTCTCTATCTACACTGTTAACCTTTCCACCCCTGTCCCAGGGCAGGGGCCTTTAGACCTGGTGATTTCTTCCCGACAGGATCCACCAGGCACCCCCACCCCTGCCTCGATGCATGCCCTGTCTACCGCCTACTCCCTTCTAACCTGACTGAGAGATTGGGGAGGCCCCCGAGAGGTCCAACACAGCAAAAGCCAGAGGAGTTCCAATCCAATGTCTTCATTCTGTAGTGGGGAAAACAAGGCTTAGAAAGGAGAGGCTGGATGGAGACCACTCAGTGAGACCCCGGCCCAATGCTTTCTCCTCCACACAGGGGGTGGGGGCATGTGTGGGCGCAGCCTCAGGGTGGTAAGTGACAGGGAGTTCATTTATTTGCTCAAATATTTATGGAGGTCAGGGAAGGCCTCAGGGCATCTGAGCAGACTTGAGGGAGATGGGAGGCACCTTAAAACACCTTAAGAGATGTTTTTCCCTGGAGGAAAAGCACCCCATGTGAGGAAAGCAAGTGCTCAGGGGCGAGGAGAGGGTGCCAGCTGGTGGGACAGCAGGGAGACAGACAGGATGGGGGGGGGGAGGAGGCAGTGAGTCAGAGCTGCTGGTTGTGCAGGGCCTCGGAGGCTGCTGCACAGACTGATTTTGAGTGGGAGAGCTGGGGGCTACCAGGTGGAGCAGGGACTGGAGGGAGTGAGGGCAGGAGCAGGGGACAGTCAGGAGACTACTTACTACAGTCATCTAGGAATTGAGTTTGCTGGTGGATCAGAAATGGGATGTGAGAGAGAAGAGTTGAGTCTGAATCCAGGAAGATTTTGGTCTGAGGTTCCTGGGCTTGTCAGATGGGAGGTCAGGGCCAGAAACCCAGGGAAAAAAGGGGATTAGAGACACAAGGGTAACCCTCCAGCCAGAGCAGGCCCGTTGAACCAGGGACTGCAGGGGGAGTGCTTCCAGGCCAGAGCCGGGATGTGCAGGAGCCTTGAGAAGTGGAGAGGGGGCTAAAGATGGGACTAGGTCTCCAGCTATGCTCAGCGTGAGGACAAGCTCTCTAAAGGCTCAGTTGTCCTGAGGTTGTGAACTTCCCCTCAGGAAGACGTGCAAGCCAGGCAAGCCTGGGGTCCAAGAGATTTCATTACCCAATCCTGCTTGCCGTTGGTGGTGGGAGGGGAGCTGGTTGGTGGAGGTAACCTCCAAACCTTCTACCCTGATACCCTCGGAGCCCCTGGACACTGGCAGCTAAGCCTGAGAAGAGAGATAGGGCTGCTCCTCCTCCCTCTTCCCTTTTGTGACCAAGAATAAGCATGCCCCTGTCTTCACCAATGACCATACAGCTGTCCCCAGCAGAAGGGGGGAGGGTATTGCTATCTCCATGGCAATAGCAGGCAGTCTGTGTCTGCAGCAGGTGTGTGGACACTGAACCTGTTCTACCTTTGTTCCCATGCAGCCTGTGGGGGATCTAAGCTGCCCCCTCAAGCTTAGAGCTTTCAAGAGATCAGAACTGCCACCCCTCCCTCTCACTTGGCACCCCAGTTCCTAACCTCAGGCCTCGTTCAGTGAAACATGGTAGTAGAACCAGGAAGTCCAGCTCTTTAGAAGAGATCAAGACAGCATCCTGGGGAGCCCTTGGCCTCTGCAACCCTAAGCAGAAGGCCCTCAGCCCTCCCCCATCCTCCCTGACCCCGCAATAATAGCCTGGCCAGTGGGGGCTGACATGGGTACAGCCTGTCTACGGCCAGGATTTAGGACTCTTCCCCCTGTCCTGTTTGCCCTCCTAGCAAGGCTGGGACAGGCACTGGTAGCACACTACTCTCAGCAAGGCTACTCCCAGCCAAGTTATCCAGAGCCTGGCAAGAGGCTCCGGCTACATCCTGGCCCAGTTCAACCCCTAGTGCCATGGCATCCTCACAGTGTGGGCAGCCCTCTGCATGGAACCGCACCCCCCACCACTGATGGGCATTCCTTCTAGCTGTGTATGTTCTTCTGAGTAATTCTCACTCCCTCCATGCTGCCGTCCATGATCCTCAGCAGACCTCCATTCTGGAGAAGGTGGCTGTGAGTTCCTTGTGCCACCCTGACATGGCTCCTGAGATAAGTCTCTTGGGGGGTGGTTAGGGTGCCTACCAATGGCCCCTTATTCACAAAGAGGGCCCAGCCTGGCCCCCCCGAGCCCCATTTCCATTCACTTCTGATGCTCTTTGTGTCACCACATCGAACATGTGCACAAGTGTACGCACAGGTGCACCAATGTGCGCACACACACACACACACACTACCCTACACTACAGCTGGTTAGGCCCAAGGAGAAACAGTGGCTGGCGGTTTAAGCCACACTTCTCTGGGATTCATTGTCTCTTTTCTCATAGGCTCCCAGTACAGAATGTGATACACATTTGGAATGGCTGCTGTGTGCTAGGCAGGGGCCATGCCTTTTCTCTAATCCTCACTGTTTTTGTTGTTAGGTTCCACAGAGTTGGTTCCAGCTTATAGCCACCCTATGTACAACAGAATGAAACACTGCTCGGTCCTGCACTACGCTCACAATCGTTGCTATGTCTGAGCCCATTGGTGCAGCCATTGTGTCAATCCATCCAATGAGGGTCTTCCTCTTTTTGGCTAACTCTCTGCTTTACTAAGCATGATGCCCTTCTCTAGGAACTGGTTCCTCCTGATAACATGTCCAAAGTACATAAAATGAAGTCTTGCCATATTTGCTTCTAAGGAGCATCCTGGCTGTACTTCTTCCAAGACAGATCTGTTTGTTCTTCTGGCAGTCCATGGTATACTCAGCATTTGTCACCAGTACCTAATTCAAAGGCATCAATTCTTCTTCAGTCTTCCTTATTCGTTGTCCAGCTTTTGCATGCATAGGAAGCAACTGAAAATGCCCTGGCTTGGGCTTAGTCCTCAAAGTGACATCTTTGGTTTTTAACACTTTAAAGAGGTCTTTTGCAGCAGATTTGCCCAATGTAATACATCATTTGATTTTTTGACTGTTGCTTCCATGGGTTTTGATCGTGGATCCAAGTAAAATGAAATCTTTGACAATTTCAATTTTTTCTCCCTTTATCATGATGTTGCTTATTGGTCCAATTGTGAGGATTTTTGTTTTGTTTATGTTGATGTGTAATCCATACTGAAGGCTGCAGTCTGATATTCATCAGTAATTACTTCAAGTCATCTTCACTTTTAGCAAGGAAGGTTATATCGTCTGCATATTGCAGGGTGTTAATGAGTCTTCCTCCAATCCTGCTGCCGCATTCTACTTCATATAGTAGAGCTTCTTGGACTATTTGCTCAGCCTACAAATTGAATAAGTATGGTGAAAGGATACAACTCTGATGCACACCTTTCCTGATTTTAAACCATGCAGTATCCCCTTGTTCTGTTTGAACAACCGTCTCTTGGTCTGTGTACAGGTTTTGCATGAGAACAATTGTGTGTTCTGGAATTCCCATTCTTCTGCTTCACTACAGTCCTCACTACAACCCTATAAACCGGTTGCTATGGAGTTGACTCCAACTGTTATCAATTGAATGGTACCCTCCAAACTATGTGTTGTCAATCCTAACCGTGATACCTTTGGTTATAATCCTATTTGGGAACGCGTTTTCTTTGTTTAGAAGCCATATCAGTGTAAGGTGTCTGAAGCCAGTCACTTTCGAGATACGAAAAGAGCAGACCAGGCACAGAGGAGCAAGCAGATCTGGGGGAAGACAGATGCCACACAACATGAACATTACCAAGGAGCCAAGGAATAGAAGCTGAAAAGGGACAAGGACCTTCGCCAGAGCCAACGGAGAAAGAAAGCCTTCCCCTAGAGCCAGCACCCTGAATTTGGCTAGGCTTCTAGCCTTCTAAATAAATTTCTCTGTGTTACAGCCACCCACTTGTGTTATTTATATTATAGCAGCACTGGATCGTTATGGGGAGCTCTGATAGCATAGTGCCTAAGGCACTTGACTGTTAACCAGAAGGCTGGAGGTTCAAACTTACCAGCCACTCCTCGGAAGGAAGGTTGGGCAATCTACTTTCCTAGTGATACTGCCTCGGAAACCCAAGGAGGGGTCTCTATGAGTCGGATGCAACTCAACAGCACATAACAACAACAACAACAACAACAGATAATTATGACACCAAATCCTTGCAGTCCCATGTGTGTCAGAGTAGAACTGTGCTCCATAGGATTTCAAGGGGGTAGATTACCAGCCTTTCTTTTGACGTGACTTTGAGTGGACTCAAACTTCCAACCTTTTAGTCAACAGCCCAGTACATTACGCATTTGCACTACCCAGGGACTCCATAACCCTGTAAGGGCAATATTATTTCTCCCATTGTACAGATGAGGAAGCTGAGGCTAAGAGAGGAGTTAATGGGCTCATCAGAACGTGAGTCACTTCACACCTCCTTGGCTTCCACTGCCAGCTTTTTCCTTTGGCAGAGTCACTCAGGAGAGTCAGACGTCTGTGTCTGGGCCAGGGTGGGGTCTGCAGCACCCTGGCCCACCCTGTCTCTGCTGGCTGCTCTCTATCTCCAACAGGCCATCTCTCTGGCCCCTGTTTAGATTTGGTATCCGGGTGGGAGTCAGGGCCTAAAAATATTCCTCATGTGTTTAGATGATTCTTGGAAAATAAACTTCCCCATCTTGGCTCTCAGTTTGCACACTTGCTGGCCCGGCTTCCTGTGGCTCTGATCTAACTGTGTGGGTCGTGTGTGTGGCAGGAAGGGAGGAGGAGATCAAGACCCAGGGCTCCCTCCCACTCTGGAAGCCCTAGGAAGGATCTATAGGGGCCCAGAGTAGGAGTAGTAGGGGCAGGAGTTGTGGGATAGGGGTCAAGGAGCAGAGGGTGGGAGGGTGTGG